TGGTAACTTTATTATATAGTGTTAAAATTGGATATAAGTAACTAAATAAATAAATAAATGTATATTGACAGTGCGGATTTGCTTGTTCTGTCTATTTTTCAATTCGGGTCCCAATAATTGTATCCCTACAAGCTCGTGCAAACGTAGGCTAACACAAACCACAATGGATTGCCGTGTCGATCGGTTTTTCGTTTCAAAATTGTTCCAAAAAATAATGCTTTTCCGTAGTTGTGCACTCCTACAATTTACTGCACGCAGTTCTGTAAGCAGTAGATGCTTTTAGGTTTCATTTGACGCGATTACCTTGCTTCAAGGCCAGGACTTACGAGGATATGTTGTTCACTAGAACAAAATTTCAAAGATTTTCTACGGGACCTCGCTTGAAATAAAAACACTGTGTACATAGAAAGCTGTAGGTGATACGCAAGAACGGCGCCCTATTTCCGAAATTTATGGATTTAAAAGAATTCATGATAAAAACGATGTCTCCATTGTTCGCAACATTGAAACAAATTGAGCCCATCATACCCATCAACAAACCACTAGAGATGCAGCTTCGCATCTTTCTCCTTATCTTGCAGAAAATTGATTTCGCTCATGGATGGAACAGTTAAGAAAAAATGTTTGAGTATCGTCAGAAATTGCTGAAAATTATGCGCAATCAAATGATTAATAGATATTATACACATGGTGTCAGTTCTTTCGAAAAAATAAGATTTCTCATCAAAAAATTTAAAGTTGACTTAAGGTTGGTTTATTTTGAAGAAGGACAGTGTATACACTTATAAAAGCATCAGCCAAATGTTTGCAGGATATGACTGCAATAGAGTCTTTCTCGTAGAAGTGTTAGAAAAGTATAGTATAATAAGAGCAAAAAAATTTTAAAAAAAGGTCTCTTTGATTCTGGCAGTCATAGATAATAGAGTGTGAGAATAGGCTTAACATTCATAGAAGAGCTAAAAAATGGGAGAAAAAAGCTAACTACTTGAACTACATGAATTTACATCCAATCTTCACAATCTTCTTCTTAAAACGAGTTTAATCGATATGTCGGGCTTTTAAGCTCAGAGTTGTATATCGTATAAGCCGAACAAACGACAAGGAGAAACAAAAAAAGGGAAAAGTTTTGGAGATGATAATTGCTTGAGGTAGCGGATAAGCGCTAGTTGCAGATGATGAGGCCATCGGCAGAAACTGCTCGATAATGAATTAGATATTGAGGATGATTCAGGGCAGCAGGAAAGCTTTACTTTAGATGCTAAGAAGAAGAAGAAACTCAGTCGACTTCTTGGAAAATATGGTTCAGCAATTGACTATACTACAGATTTGCTACTATTTTGTTTATGGAATATATTGATTTCAGAGTTGTTGATGATACCTGTCTCTGTTAGCTACTTTAGTGCAGAGTTTCTAATAAAGTATTGTACGAATTTAAATAGCAGTACATACACCTTGAATGCTCTATGTACTAACTAGGACAATGAAACGTTGAAATGCCGAGAATGGCGAGTTCTTACATTACGCATTGAAAAAAAGTGATAAAGCGATTTTTCAAATAGTTTGGAAGCAAATGGTATTTACTTAGCCAATAACGAAGGATGGAAAAGTCAAGAAATAGACTAATTATAAAGCTACTTCTTTATCAGCGTTTTTTCTTATTGTTTTAAAGCGGTAATGGCGCTTTGTAGTGGAAAGACAAAGGAAATTATGACACGTAGAAACATTTCTGGTGTCCATTGCTTTTTCGGTCGTAGAAACTTACTGTAATGACTACAGTCGCGTATTGGATAAATGACACTGTAATTAATTTTCAGTTTTTCTGCCAAGTTTATCTTAGAGCGAGTAGGT